GGTGGAGTAGGAGGAGGGAAGGGAGGCGAAGGAGAATGGAGAAAGGAGGAGGAGGAGGAGGAATAGGAGGAGGAGGAGGAGGAAAATGAGGAGGAGGAGGAAGAAGAAGGAGGGGAGGAGGAGGAGGAGGAGGAGGAGGAGGAGGGAGGAGGAGGAGGAGGAGGAGGAGGAGGAGAAGGAGGAGGGGGAGAAGAAGGACGAGGAGGGGGAGGGGGAAGGAGGAGTGGGATAGAGAGGAAGAGGAGCAGGAGGAGGAGGAGGAGGTGGAAGAGAAGGGGGAGTAGGAGGACCAGTGCAAACCGAAGAGGCAACCACGAAATTGCAATACCCTCCCTCCAGGTTCCCTCTTCAGAGGTCCATATAAGAAGTTATGTACTATGTTCCATTGCGGGGAGTGGCCCATTGAAAGACAACCGTCTGAGAATTCCCAGGCGTGCCAAAACACCAGTCCTGAAACGTCGACGCCGCGGATCAACGGGAGTCCTGCATGCGGACAATCGTAAAAATCGTGCCAGAACGCCGTTCTTGGGACGTCAACCACGCATCCACTTGACTGGTGCGTCCTGACGAGTCGAAATCGTGCCACAACACCGCTCCTTGGACTGCAGCCATACGAATCCTTGAAATTCTTACAAATGTTTAAGACGAATGCGCGCGACGCTAAGGCGAGAGCCATGGTTTGACATGCACCCGCTTCCATATTTGAATGTGTTGCAAACGTTTAAGACGAATGTGTGCGGCGCTAACGCTAGAACCGCATTTTGACAACGACCGGCCCTCCATTCTAGAAATTGCTGCACATGTTTAAGACGATGTTTGCCGAAAGGGGCGAAGAAGTAGGAGGAGGCGGAGAAGGAGGAGGAAGAGCAGCGGGATGGGCAGGATGATGATGAGGAGGAGGAGGAGGAGCAGAAGGATGAGGAGAAGGGGGGGAGTGGGTGGTGGAGGAGGAGGAGGGAAGGGGCGAATGAAAGGGAGAAAGGAGAGGAGGAGGAGAGGAATAGGAATAGAAAGCGGGGGGAGGAGGAGAGGAGGAGGAGGGAGGAGGAGGAGGAGGAGGAGGAGGAGGAGGGAAGGGAGGAGGAGGAGGGGGAGGAGGAGGACGAGGAAGGGAAGGGGGAAGGAGGAGTGGGATGGAGAGGAAGAGGAGCAGGAGGAGGAAGAGGAGGTGGAAGAGAAGGGGGAGTAGGAGGACCAGTGCAAACCGAAGAGGCAACCACGAAATTGCAATACCCTCCCTCCAGGTTCCCTCTTCAGAGGTCCATATAAGAAGTTATGTACTATGTTCCATTGCGGGGAGTGGCCCATTGAAAGACAACCGTCTGAGAATTCCCAGGCGTGCCAAAACACCAGTCCTGAAACGTCGACGCCGCGGATCAACGGGAGCCCTGCATGCGGACAATCGTATAAATCGTGTCAGAACGCCGTTCCTGGGACGTCCACACCACGCATCCACTTGACTGGTGCGTCCTGACGAGTCGAAATCGTGCCACAACACCGCTCCTTGGACTGCAGCCATACGAATCCTTGAAATTGTTACAAATGTTTAAGACGAATGCGCGCGACGCTAAGGCGAGAGCCACGTTTTGACATGCACCCGATGCCATATTTGAAATTGCTGCAAACGTTTAAGACGAATGTGTGCGGCGCTAACGCTAGAACCGCATTTTGACAACGACCGGCCCTCCATTCTAGAAATTGCTGCACATGTTTAAGACAATTTTTGCCGAAAGGGACGGAGAAGTAGGAGGAGGAGGATGAGGAAGAGCAGCGGGATGGGGAGGACGATGATGATGATGATGATGATGAGGAGGAGGAGGAGGAGGAGGAGGAGGAGGAGGAGGAGAAGAAGGATGAGGAGAAGGGGGGGAGTAGGTGGTGGAGGAGGAGGAGGCGGAGGAGGAGGAGGAGGAGCGACGAGACTCGAGAGGGCGCGTTCGGCGGAGCTTAGCTGAGGAAGCCCGCGCTACCTTGGCCCTGATATGTTCGCTGCGTTGATGAGGCCGGCCTCGTCGGACGTGGCGAAGCGGTCGCCGTCGGAGTCAGAGACAGTGTCGGGCGAGTCGAAAATTTCGGCCCGCACCCCTCCTCTTCCTCATTCCTTCTCCTTCCCCCTCCCCCTCCCCCTCCCTCCCATTCTTTTTCCTCGCCTAAAAGTAATTCTTCCCTGTCGCACCCCGAGAGCAGTCGGAAGGGCGGGCCGGGCGTTTCGAAGGGAGTCTTCCTCACCATCTATGACTCTGAAGCTTTAATTGGCAACAGCTTCACAGATGGAGGGCGGGTGGTTTCCAAAATATGACTCTCGCCTCAGCGCTGCTTGCACTCGCCTTAACAATTTGCAAGAGCTTCCCGGATTGAGGGCGGGTCGTTTTTTTTTCAAAGATGATAATAATAAGGATAATAGTAATAATAATAATGATGGTAATACCAATAATAATATGTAATGGTTATCGCTTCAGCGCCGCGCACATTCGGTTCAAAAGTTACAAGAGTTTGACAGAATGAGGGTGGGCCGTTTTCAAAATGATGTTATCGCTTGAGACCCGCGCACATTCGTCTTAATCAAGAGTTTGC